CATTTTACAAAAGAAATGGATAGGCTTCACTCGTCTACAAAGATTCCCCTGCTGATTCTGTGACTGATCTTGGGTGTTACATGCCAAGGAGATTAAGGAAATGATTTAAAAATAGCAAGTCATGGTTGGTAACCTCTATGCATTTTTGCCTGCTTGATTTATTTACTTGTTTGACCCCGGTTCAGAGAGCCTATAATATTGAATTGTTCTTTGTTGGGTTTCAGCAAATGGGTTAAAATCTCCAAGATTCTGTCCTTTGCTTACCAAAAAAGCACATGCTCAAAGACAACAATAAAACATTTCAATCCATTCTAGCTTAGACTATTTGTATATAAAGTTTGGGGATAGATTTTTTTAATAGGAAAGGAGTCAAAATAATGTCAGTAGGGATGTATGCTGTCTACACATCTCCTCTACCACCCAGGTGTCTTGTTTCATCAGCTGCTTCCCAGTGGGGAATGAGTGGGTTACTCTCTTTTGGGGATCAGGCAACACATTGTAACTATAAGCAGAAATCTAAACAATGTAATACTTTTGTGGGAAACATACCTACAAGAAAACATCTAAACTCACTTTTCAACATGTGTAATAAGTCCTACATACTTTCAAAATTCAAGTGAAAAACAACAAACTTTTAAAAAGAGCATACACTTTCATACATTAATAAAGCAAAGAATGGTGTTGGAAAACATCCGACAGCATGATTCCCAGACCAGGTGTTGACACGTAAGACACGTAACAAGTTACTTCAAAAAGAAACCATAAAATCATCACTACCGAAACCACCAGCATCTCTCAATTTTAATTCATTTTAATTACAAAAATAAATATACTTTACTACATATATGGTACATATAAATATACAGTCTCCCCAAATGGTAAGGGAGCTCAGTAATTAAAGCTGTGGCTTTGTTATAATGCAAACACTTGGAATATTATTCTCTAGAATTGAAATTCTCCAAATGCTTTGACACACAGATCATTCCAGTCATGGGTAAGTCATAGTCCACTGACATCCCTCAGTCCTGCGTAAGGCCACCAAAAAGCCTCCAAATTACTGAGAAGGATGGCTTTTACGAAGGTACCAGTGAGAGAAAACAGCAATAAAGGGTGGATCTGGTTATATAGAAAAAGCATTCAATTTGGGATCTTAAGACTGGGGTTTTAAGCCAAGTTCAGCCCCAAGACTTAAAAAATCATTTAACACAACTGAGCTTCAATTTCCCCACATATATAATGATTGGAGTTGATGAGATAATCTTTAAGATCCCTTTAGTTATAAAAACCCTCTACTTGTAATATCATATGATTCCTTTTGAATACATAATACATTCACACTCAGATCAAAAAGAAAAAAAAAACGATTTTAAACGTATTCTGTGAAAAGTCTCATTCCCATCTGCCCTGGTCGCCACCTCCATACCCCACACAGAAGTCATCATTTTCATTAGTTTCTTTTTTTTTTTTTTTGAATTTTTGAATTTTATTTTATTTTTTTATACAGCAGATTCTTATTAGTTATCCATTTTATACATATCAGTGTGTACATGTCCATCCCAATCTCCCAATTCATCCCATCACCACCACCCACCCCCTGCCACTTTTCCCCCTTGGTGTCCATACGTTTGTCCCCTACATCTGTGTCTCTTAGTTTCTTATGCAACCTTCCAGAGTCTCTTTCCAGGAATATGTGCAAACATAAATATATATCCTCATTAACCTCTTTTCTAACAAAAAAGACATCATACTAAAACTCAATGATCTGTGACTCACAGTACATCTTGGAGAGCTTCCCATGTCAGTATGTAGAGATTATCCTCATTCTTTTTAACAAGTGCATAGTTTTCATTATATAAACATCCAAAATCGACTTAACCAATCCCATACAGACAGGCACTTGGATTTCCCCCAGTGTTTTGCTATTATATATCATGCTGCAGAAAAAACCAAACACTTATGCATATTACCCGTAAATTGTAAGTTTAAGAGAAATTTCCACAACTCAAACTGTTAAGGCAACGGCTAAATGCATCTACAATTTTGGTTAAATTTGCCCAACTGCCTTCCACACGGTTTGTACCTACCTGCGTTTTGCCAGCAAATCTGAGAATCCTGTTCCTCCAGACTCCCATGAAAACAGAGCAGCTTCTTTCTTTCTCTTTTGGATTACTTCCTCATCTGAGAAATCCATGCCATCTCAGTATGATTTTTAACGGGCATTTCTCTTATTATGATGAGTTTACGTAAGAGTCGTGATTCTATTACTGTGAAGTGCCTGCTCATATTCATAAATCTTTTTCTGTAAGTTGTTGCTCTTCTTCTCACTTTTTCAGCTTTTATAAATAAAAGCTCTACTATTTCAAGACAACAATCCCACAGCCAAAAGGCAACCTCTACAGATTACTGGTGGATCACAATTCCTGAATGCTTCAAGGGTTTAAAAATGGTCACCACTGAGATTTTCTTACTGGAAGGTACTGATCACCATTACTCAATATTTTACAAATAATATATAATACCCATAAAGAAACTTTCCTCTTAGAAAAGGTATGCTTCACTTTCAAAAGGGGAAGGAATAGTTTGGACGATGACATGAAGACAATTTCATTTCACCAAATATCACAAATACTTGGGTGACAGAGAAGCAGCAATAATTACGGCTAAACAGTAGGTATAAAACGCTTAAGACATAAAAGTATTTCATATCATAAATATATTTGTACCGTCATTTCACTGCACACTTAAGAGTTCAATTACATTAATATAAAACAATTTTCTTAATATCATGAAATGCCATTATCCAAATAAGCACACCCATTTCCTAGTAAAGGTCCAAGCTATGTGAACAACCTCATCTGAAACATGTTTAAAATTCTAAAGACCCTGGTAAACAAACCTCTGCCATTCATGAATCCAAAATGCATATATAAATGTTTTTCCTATTTTTTTAACTATGTGAGGAGATACCCGACTCATTTTTTTAAAATTCTTAAATAGATCCTATTTTACTAGGAACTAACTAGGAATTTGCAAAGTCCAACCAAGCAACATTTCAACGATATTTTTTAAAATGCGGATCATTTCTAAAGTCTGTATTGAATTTGTTACAATAATGCTTTTAACATCTTTACTGGAATATAATTGCTTTACAATGGTCTGTTAGTTTCTGCTTTATAACAGAAGTGAAGCAGCTATACATATACATATGTCCCCATATCTCCTCCCTCTTGCATCTCCCTCCCTCCCACCCTCCCTATCCCACCCCTCTAGGTGGTCACAGAGCACCGAGCTGATCTCCCTGTGCCATGTGGCTGCTTCCCGCTAGCTATCTATTTTACGTTTGATAGTGTATATATGTCCATGCCACTCTCTCACTTTGTCCCAGCTTTTTTTATGTTTTGGTTTTTTGGCTGCAAGGAATGTGGGATCTTAGCTCCCTGACCAGAGATCGAACACGCACTCCCTGCATTGGAAGGCGAACTCTTAACCACTGGACCACAGGGAAGTGCCCCGAGCAGCATTTTAGATATCTAGAAAACATCTTTCTTCACTGACGTGGGACCCATCCACACACATGCTCTGATTAGAAGTTGGCCTGAGGGCTTTCAAACTCTAAAACTGACCAGCTGCTGAAACTTCACAGCAGGAAGAGACTTCTCTTCCCTACCACCAATAGATGTTTACAGCATAGAGCTTGCACCATCATTTAAAAGATTATAAAAATATTTGGACGTGTATCATGTCTCTGATTCTGCAGAGTACCTGTGGAATATCAGGGGTGTCCTCATCTAACCGTCTTGAATAACTGAAGCACACTGATTTGGATAGTCACCTCCAGGCCCCCAAATGGACGCAAACACTGAGGCCATGTGAACTGGAGTCCTCACCACCCACTACTGAGCACAGAACCAGAAGCCTGACCTCCTGTCCTGCTACTTACTAAGCCTGGGGCCCTGGGCAGGTTATATAAACTCTCTGGAACTAAGTCTCCTCAGAGGGCGATCCTCAGTTTGAAGATTCAGTGAGTTTGGCACCGAGAACAGTGGAATCGGTGTTCTGTAGACGTTCACCATAGTATAATTAGACTGCACTGCATTGCTGAAGAACTTTAATGGGAAAAAGCACCAGCTGCAGGGAAATAATTCAAAAGAATCTCCTCCACAAGGATGAGGATGGAGCACAAGTTAGGATAAAAGCCCAGGGGAGCACAGTCACGCCACAGGTAAGTCAGGCGCAGCACAATTAAAGTACAAGTAATCCAATCTCCGGTGATCTGAAAAGGTTAGCACAAAACCCCCGCTTTATTTGAGATTATCTGTTAAAATCTCCACTGAAGTTTATTTTTCTACTCCCATTCTGCTTTTGTTGTCTATCATTCCCTTTCTTTTCCTTCCCATCTTCTCACCTTTCTCCTTGCCGCATCTTCCCTGGATAAACCTTAGACCTATAGGGACAACAAATCACATTCCTAAAGTATACTTACTGACATGTGGTTTATGGGTCTCCACTTAAAATGACTTTAATGCAACCTGGTTCCCAACTTAATTATTGTCATGTCTTATGGCATCAAAGTGTTGGAAATCTGAAAGCAACTGGGCTCTGGGGAAAATTCAACTTACTGGAAATAAAAATGTAAAGAAATGTTTCATTGGTATGTTGTTGCCTTTTTAAAGCCACTTCTCTTCCACGTTCAAGTTTTTAACCCCAATCACTTAGCAATACTGTACCCTTTCTCAACACACAGCAGCAACACAGCTGCCAACCATACAATAAAAGACAGGGAACAATGGTTTATGGAGGAGCCCAGGGCCACACACCTCCACAGGGGAGGGAGCTGTACAGACTCCTATGTCAGGTTAACCATGAAACAAACTATTTTCTCACTACATCTAAAATGTTTACAGCGTAAACTTCTCCAGATTAACAAAAGCATCACTTCAGTGACAATACAACACCCTCCTGAATCACCCAAACCCTTTAAATTTTCACAGAATACAAACCTTTGGGAGGTGTGAGATTGACTCCGTTTTTAAGGCACCACTGTACTGGTAAAATCCCCAAAGAATCCGCATGGCACAGCATCGAGAGTTTACTAGGTTCTGGTCTGAGGTCATCAATAGTCACTTGAAAAAAACGATTGTTAAAAACCTGAAAGAAAAGACAATAGAGCCTGGGGTTAATTCCTTGAGATTAACATGTAAGACTCCTAAGAAATAGTGGCACAGCTTCCAAATGCAGTAAGAGTATTTCATCCCAATGACCGCAGCACAAACTGGAATTTCAATGTATATTACAAAAGCGGTCCAGTTGCGAAAAAGTTAGTTGATCATTGTGGTCATATTAATGGAAAGTAAACAAACAACTAGAATTACGTCGGAGACAGAGAAGGAAAAACATCAGCATGACCTTATAGAAGTAAACCAACAGCCAAAGCCAGAGGAAAAACAAGCTGGTGAAGTAAGACAGACAAACCCTAGCCAAGATGGGACCATCTCTACCATCTGGCTCAGAGATGTCTAGCCTCACCTTGCGTCCCATCCCTCCAACCCAAGAGGAAATCACTCACACCGGGCATGTCCTTATTCAATATTCTCACAAGTCTAAATAGCCCACTCCACTCTCCGTGTATTTTTCAAGATGTGTCCCCAAAGCCACTACTGCTGGAACGCCCCCACCCACCCACCCCCGCCTCACTCTGTGTTCTGGCACAGCATCAGACGTGAACCTCCGAACCGAAAATTCTCATTCCCTCCTGTGGTCTGATACCACATCTATCTCTCCCAATAGACCTCAAGTCCTTTGAGGACAGCCTCCTGTTTGTTACTCATCAAGATATTCCCACAGTGCATAGCAAACGCTTTGAACGTAGGAACTGGTTAAACACCTACTTGAGTATAAGGAAAAAAGTCAATGAGAAAAAGAAATAGAACAAGACATGCTGATGGAAAAAGCAGAGTGCAAAAATCAGGTGGACAGCCACACTGAAAAGCATGATGGATTTAAAGAATGTAGAATGTAAAACAGGCCAGAGGCAAAAAATTGCTTTCCCAACTCAACAGACATAAACCAGTCTTTCTTAGGAAACTTAACCCTCTTACTAAGCTCTGATTCCTGGCTCCTTCGTTTTCAAAACACTTTGTGGAAGCAACCTGGTTCAAAGGTAAGCAGGAAGAGTGAACTCACTTCTGTTCTTCTTGATGTTATAACTCCAGTAACTCGTTAGAAGTCTGCTGCCTGAGATTTGCTTTTGGAAACAGACTTTAAGGAGCAAAGGATCAAGCTTCCCCTTCTCAGGGAGGCCGTTCCTGGTAGCCCGAATTAAAATCACATCTTCCTTCCTTCCACTCCAACACCCTAGAGGTCCCTTTCCTGATGCCCCTTTCTCCTTAGCATTTAACATACTTTATTTCCTTATTAATTTTATTTATTGTCTGTCCCCCCCCCATCAAAATATAAGCTCTGTAAGAGTAGGGACTTTATGTTTCCAGCATCCAGAACAGTGCCTACAAATGCTCAGTAAATATTTGTTAAATTAATGTGATCTAGACCCTCATGCATACACACACACACATACTCACACAGAGATGTACCATATAATTCTGGAGGCAGGATCCCTTAGCAAAACTGAACTGTGTAAGAATAGGCACTAAGGAATCTCCAAGCCTATTAAAATGCACATTCCTGTGCACACATTTCAGAGGAAAAGCTAAATTAAGTTCCCTCAAATCCATCAGGGTTCATGGTCCCAAATGGTTCAAGGACACTGGTCCATCTGGTCCAGAACCACAAGCCTCAGCATCAAAGCCCAGAGCAGTTAGCCAACTTGCCCAAGATTGTGCAGCTCAGAGCAAGCAGACCTAGAAACAGAACCCAACACGTGTAAAATTCCAGGAAACTTTGTCTAAACCATGCGTCTCACATACACAGATGATACTCTCCCCATCATGCCAACATAGTCCCCCTGTAGGGCCAAAGGTTGGTCATTTAATACTGAATCTGCTATGTGCTTCTCTGCTTTCTTGTCTATTTGTTATTTATTTCCTCAACAGTTGTGCCATGAAGAAAAGCCCCAAGGAAGATAAAAATGAAATTTTCATTAGGATGAGTACTTAACAGCACAGTGTGTTATAGTCTCAAACGTCATATTCTAAAACCTTTTCCAATGTTAAAAGAAATACATTTAATTATAAACAGCTTCCACATTTAAGAATATTCTACTACTTTGTGACCTGTAGGTGAGCCCTGTGCCTGGGGAGGTGCCGACCCAAGTTCTAAGAAGCAGCAGTACACGGCCAGTGAGAGAAGGAAGAAGAAAGGATAAATGTGAAACAGAATGACTTAAGTTTTTTTTTTTTTTTTTTTTTTTGAATCCGCGGCATGTGGGATCTTCCCGGACCGGGGAACGAACCCGTGTCCCCTGCATCGGCAGGCGGACTCCCAACCACTGCGCCACCAGGGAAGCACGACTTAAGTATTTTATCTTAGGTACAAAGGGTAAGAAAAAATAAAATGAAAAGTGACTTAAAAACCAGAGAAAATACCTCCTCACCCCCAACCTCCAATGACATGTATTTAGAGAGAAGATTCTTTTTTGTGAAAACCAAACTACTGTCCCTGGAAGTCTATTCAATGAAATGAAGATATCTGGGCTGAAACTAATGATAATTAGGATGTCACATTCTAACATTATGTATTACAATTATTTAAAGGTAGAAAAATGTGAGAGTCGACCACTGACAGACTGCACCTCGGTTTGGTTTATTTTATAAACACCCGGTGAAGATGACACCAAGGCCTCTTAGAATGAGAAGAGGATGACACATACCCAGATAAATGGGCAGCTGGCATTACTGAATCACCTGCTTGGAACAAAGAGGAATTCCGGCCAGGGTTCAACAAGGTATCACTCCTTAGTTTTGGAAGAATGTGCCAACTACCAGAACACACAATAAGAACCCTAAAAGCCATTTCAAATAAAAAGGTTATAAATGAATGGTGTATGAACAGCGAGAGCATGCAGTTCAACCCGAGATGATCATTCAAAGCATAAGTCATTATTTGTTCTATGCAGCTATCCTTTAAATAAATTGCTTTAACAGTTACAAAATAATTTATGTTCACTAAAGAAAAAAATCTTTAGCAAAGAAGAAAAGGACGTTTCATTATAACCATTTCCCATATTCTGTAATACATGATCACCACTGTATTTCTCAAATTTTACCAAATTTTGAATAAAATCATAAATAAAAAAGCATGACTCAAATAACTTCATACTATTAATCACCACATTAACAATCCCATCTCCTTCAGAAAAAGAAATTAAAATGGAATTGACTTTTGAACTCCAGGAAATGCACAGAAGGCCGTTAAGTAAAACACATGTTGGCTAAGAATCTTAGTTTGTTGGTTTCTCGCGCCATTAACAGGACATAAATGGTGTGTGTGTGTGTATGTACGTATATACGTATATATATTTTTAAGGTAGAAACACATACTTTGTTATGATAGGTAAATTCGTTGAGATTTCTTTGATGCGGAAGGGAAATTATAATAAAAGACTATCAAGGCCATAATAAAAATGTCTTTGCGTGAAACGGTACTTTCATTTTAAATCTACGAATCTTAGACGTATGACTTTTCCTTTAGTCAATGAAAGCAGATGAGAGAAAGGAAGTGAGGTGCTGATCCCCTGGAGATGGGAACTTGCTTTTCACCATTTCCAAGTATTTGCAAAATAGATCATATGAAATATGATCAGTGCAGCAGGAGAAGCAAGTTACTATTACAAAGATTACAAACTCATCAGCGGTTTCTTCTCACGAGCACAGGGACAAACGGCAGTTTCCATGTCACTATGGTTAGTAAGAGAAGGTGGCACCTATTCAGTGGCTGAGTTCACTGCTGTGAACTCACAGTTGAGCATCTGAATCTTCCTCCAAGTCTCTGCAGGACACGAGCGTCTGCATCCTGTACTATCGGAGGACAAGTGAAGTTCACACCACCCATTGCAAGAGGAGGCATCTGATCACACTCACTCGGATATCAGTGATAAAAAGGGAGCTTGAGACAGCACTGTACTGGAGAGGAGGCCCTCCTCCTTGGGTTTACTTGCGTCACCACAGATCCCCACACGAGCCTATTTCCTCTGGTTGGCTTGGAGTAGAAAGACTTACTGGATCCACTCCGGAGGTGGAGGTGAAAAGCAAGGGAGGGACCTCACCTTGGTCACTGATGCAGGACAGATGTGAAAGGGCTCCCTCACGTTCACTGTTTCTAGCTTCATCCCAACTGTGAAAAAATGGCTTCTCAAATCGGCATGGTCCTACGGGGAAAAGGACGAAAATATTAAAAGCAATGGTATTGTAAGCTAATTCAGTAACTGTCTGGATGCTTTTCTTGATCGTTTTAGTGGGCGACTGAAATCGGACTGAAATCATTAACCCTCCCGCATTTCAGATTTCTAATTATGGCAAGATATCACGGATTTAATTATTTTCTGCAGGCTAAATTGCTTTTCCAAGGGAGAAACAAGCCTTGGTGGCCAGGCTTAAACTTATACTAAGCAAAAAAAATTCACACGGCACATTTCTGATCTTCCTAGGGGCCATCAGGAAAGCTCGGCAGAGAAATAGAAGCAATCAGTCATCCAAAACACGGCAGGGGCCTCCTCAGAAAACATGGCCTCTTGCTACTGGAGTTACTTTGCAGGCTTCGGGGAGGATCTTTTGGGGGATACAGCTTGTCTTCTGTGTTGAAGAGCACTCAGGTTATCAGTTACTGGTACTGATATTGGTCCTTGGACATGTGGGTATAGAAGACTCCAAAACAGCCCTGTACCCTATCAGAACCCGTCTCCTGCTCTATAAAGATGAGCTACACCCCCTGTTTAATAGGTGCCTGGCAGTTTTATAGACGATTCACAGCAACCTTATGTGTGTGAGTGGAGCTTTCCTGCCTTCTCAAGAAAACAAATTTCAATAACCACTTTAGCTACACAGCAACAGATGAGGCTGGCGGGACTCTGGACACCAGGATTTATCTTGCAGAGATGAAGGTCACCTCATAACTCACAGTCTGTATAAACAGTAGTAGATAAATAAATGTCTCTGCAGCCTGTCCCTGAGGAAATAATAGCTGCAAGTAAATCCTCCTGTTTCTAAATACATCAGTTGGGTGAGAAGTACAAAAATATCTGGGGACCTATGACTTTCTTTTATCTGCCAACGTAAAGTGGATTTTTAAAAAATTTTTATTGAAATATAGTTGGTTTACGATGTTAAGTTTCAGGTGTACAGCAAAGTGACTCAGTTATACATACATACATATATTCTTTTTCAGATTTTTTTTCCATTATAGATTATTACAAGATATTGAGTAGAGTTCCCTGTGCTACATAGGTCCTTGTTGGTTATCTATTTTACATACAGTTGTGTGTATATTTTAATCCCAAACTCTTAATTTATCCACCTCCCACTCTGGTAACCCTAAGTTTGTTTTCTATGTCTGTGACTCTATTTCCCTTTCGTAAATATGGTGTGTGTGTGTGTGTGTGTGTGTGTGTGTGCGTGTGTGTGTGTGTGTGTATATATGATGGAATATTACTCAGCCATAAAAAATGAAATAATGTCATTTGCAGCAACATGGATGGACTTAGACATGATCATACTAAGTGAAGTAAGTCAGACAAAGACAAATATCATACGATATTGCCTCTATGTGGAACCTAAAGTGGATTTTTCATTAATTCAAGGATGCCATTCTAAATACACCCAACTCTGAGGACCGTGCAGAGCCCACAGGGCTGTGCCTGCTCCTCCCACAAAAGCTGATCAGAACACGTCAGTGTATGACACCAGATCCACTTATTAAACTCACCACCACTGCTTTGCTTTACCAAAGCAGGTACAGAATGTAAATGCCTATAGAACCACAGGGACCTGTCATTTCTCATGTGGCCACAGCTGCCTGCAAGTCTCTGTACCCAGTGGGTGAGCAATAAATGCTGGGTCTGGCTGGAGCACAGGGTGCCTCGTGCAGGGAGGGGGTTGATCAGAACGAGGAAGGTGATGTGCTCCGTGGGCAAGGACTTACATGACAAAAACTCATTGAACTTAACAATCATCACTTGATTAAAAAATATTCTTAGGTACAGGAGATGATTTCCTTTTTTTATTACTGAAAATAAAGCATTTACTTTTAAAGGTGGCTTGGAAAAGGAATCAAAAGAAACAGCATAGAGATTTAATGCAAATCAACACACATCACCCCAAACACCAAGGCAGAGCCAGAAACCACAGGTGTTAATACAAAAGTAGGAAACCCAAAATGACTGAAAGAAAAGATTAAAAGTTAATGCTCTCAGCAAACATCAACGCACCCCAGTATCTATCAGTAAGAATTGAATCACATAAGTGGATTTTGCAGATAAATATTTTTTCCATTTTAGGCACAAAAGCCTTTAACCTTCTGAAAAGAGGAATTATTCTAAAACTAAGACATACTATAAAACGTTGCCTGAATGTACTCAACAAGTTTATCAAGCAGTCATTATGATACTATTTGGTATTACATAAATGTCCTCAGGCACTAATGACATGTGTAGCTATGATAAACGGGCAAGATGAATGTACTAGTTTCATGGAAGTTCTTCCGTTTCCCTCTGCTAGCAATGTCCTCCCTTGCTGCAGTGTCTCTCCCATTACTCACAGCTACAAGGCTAAACGTTCTTGAGATGCGGTTCACCAATAACAGGAAAACTCGTGCCTGTTCCCTGGCTGCCTCTAACACTAGGGCTCTGCTCACAATTTTGATCTCTCACCTGCTCTCCCGTTTGCTTCTCCTGTTGTTTCTGCTGTAGGGCTGTCCTGACAGCATTCTGGGCTTCTGGTCTCCCCACCGTCCGAATCCTCTCTTGATTTCAGACTGTGTGCCCACTCTTTGACCCACACACTTTTGTTCCTCCCTCTGCACTCTGAGTAGAGCCAGCTTTCTAAGTAGGGTTGACCCATAACCCCCAGGCACTTTCTATATCCCAGGCTCTCAGTGTGACCACTTGACCACTGACTTGAAGTCTTTAGCCAAGTCTACACCCATCTCATATCTCTGCCAGAAGGTTGCTCAATCACAGCTCCCAATGCTGGGCTGGAAACCCTAAAGCCCCCAGGAACCCTACACTAATGATTGTCCTTTACCTGCTGCCTTACTTGATTCACAGTTGTCTAGTGGGACCTGCCTTTCCTTAGAAATAAAGCATACAAGCTTAGGACAGCAATCTGGTCCTCAGATAACTTTCTCTTTTCAAGGCTGTGGACTCTGTTATAAATGCTTATCATTAATGATTCCAGGGCACCCTGCATCAAACAGTACCTCTAGGTTAAGAGGGGATCACTTTGTGCAGATACCACACATTTTCTTCCTTCTTTGTAGATGTCCCTGTGCTCCCTTGTCAACCTATGAGAATCTCTCTCTCTGCTCATACATAAGAAATACCACCCACCTCAAAATCATCCATGGCCACATGTGGGGTGAAAATAAAATGTTAATGACATTTTTTTTTTTTTTTTTTTTTTTTTTTTTTTTTATATAAATGCTCTTTCCTAACATGCTAAGTCAGGGGCAGGGACACAGAAAAATATTATTTGCCTTTGACCTTCTTGGTAATTAGTTAAATGTACTGTTATCTCTTTGGTGTGGTACGTGGGCCTCTCACCGTTGTGGCCTCTCCCGCTGCGGAGCACGGGCTCCGGACGCGCAGGCCCAGCGGCCATGGCCCACGGGCCCAGCCGCTCCGCGGCATGTGGGATCCTCCCGGTCCGGGGCACGAACCCGCGTCCCCTGCATCGGCAGGCGGACTCTCAACCACCGCGCCACCAGGGAAGCCCAGTTAATGACATATTTTTAAACAATCAAAATACTGTTGACAATGTTCTGTCCTGATGACATTAAAATATTAAACAGTTTAAAAATAATGCTTAGTGAACAAAGTTTTAGAAACAAGTTTTCCCTTGTGAATCATGGCTCAGATTTCCTACACCTTAAATTATTTCTACTAGGTTTCAGTTGCAAGCACACAAATTTCTTACTTGTGGAAATGCATCTGTTTTTGTTCCAAACTATGTGAAAATTCTTAAACTCTCTTGTTTCATATACTGAAAAAGAAGCCGGACATTTTGAGAGGTAGCTGCATACACACATTGGTTTTTTATATTTTGGTCTCAAATATCCATATCTATCTGTTATACCTCATTAAACCTCTCCAAATTTCAGAAAGGAACTTGAAAACTATAAAATACATCCCTTTATCCCCAGCCCTAACTTCCACTTTCTTAAGGTCACTTTTTCATCAGCATTTAAAAGGAAAAAAAAAAAAGAAAACTGGTAATAATGCGTACAAGTCCCACCAGTTTCAAAAGCAAGTCAACAAAATGAAAAATTTTTAAATCCAAGAGCAAAGACCCATAATGATTATGAGTTTGATTATGATTATAAATCTGCTACTCCAATATTTATGTTATTCATGAATGGTAATGCCAGAAACTTTGAACTCGAGAGGAAGGGCAGTATTTTCTAAAAGGGCTTGCCCATTAGATTTCTGGTCACTGGAAATCTTTAAAACACATGACTGTTAGCCATGTAGTACATGCAATATTTTCCAGTCAATGCCAAACCCTCTCATTTAAGTTATGCAGTTCATCCAAGAAAGATGCCAAGAAATAATTATTGAATTAAGCTGGAGAAACATCAAAAACTAGATTTCTTGACATCCATTCTGATTCTATATTCTATCATTCATTCATTCATTCGTTTGGCATTCATTAGAAACCACTGGGGTTCCACACACCATGCCACTAGGTGATGCACAGAATACACACAAAAACTGCATTTGTCAAAAGGGAGAAGGGAAAGAAATGAAGAACAGCTATGGAAGATCCAGGTTTAGAAAAAATTTCAGAACAAACACTATTTTTACTTGTACCTTCAAAAAATTATAACCACCAAGATGATGGCAGTCCAGGGATTTAAAGGAGTGAAACTTAATTTTGAATATAAAAAGCATGAGACTTAGAATGACAAAGAAAAGATTCTGAGAAGGTGGAACTGTAAATTTAGTTAGGGAGACTGGGTCTTAAGATACTGGATTAAGGCTTTTAAGTCTGATTTCAGAGGCAAAAGAGTCGTTCAGCACTCCTAACAAACCGAGATTTTTATGATAAAAAATTCAACACCAGTTAATTTCTAAATAAGCCAATACACAGACCATCTGAGCTCTTTGTGTGTATAAATGTACATCCATATTAGTATATAAGAAAGGGTACATAGTAT